ATTGTATCAATTTATATTAATGTTGCAATTTTATTGTATCAATTTATATTAATGTTGCAAAAGTTGACAATAGTTCAACTCTGTTGGTATAAAACTGTTCATTATAGAATGCTATTAATACCTAATGTGAGACCCAATACATTAACCTTAACTACCCTAACTTAATGGCAAGTCATTATGCATTAATGTTACTTTCATATGGACACTACACAGACACACTTTGTGTGATTATGACTCCTGTTGTGTTCTACAACAATATAAATTGGTTTAATCTTTGTTTTTTAATGAACTCTATGTTATTGTTATTGAGCCATAATTTAAGAAACAAAACAAATACTGAATAATGATGAAAATGCCAATATTAAAACATCTTCTTATCTTGAATGACCTCCAATACTTTGACAGAATTGTAATGAACTTTCCCAAAGTGCATTGCATAGTATTTACATGTTATTTTGTCATTCAGTTAGAACTAGACAATTACTAGATATCCCAGAATTCTTTGCAAACCAGATACATTATATAATAAAAACTACGCCAATTGAATTGTCCCATAATTCACTGCATACTAGTCATGTGATACATTGTCATCCAATAAGAACTACCCCAATTGAATTGTTCCATAATTCACTGCAAACTAGTCATGTGATACACTGTCATCCAATAAGAACTACCCCAATTGAATTGTCCCATAATTCACTGCAAACTAGTCATGTGATATACTGTCATCCAATAAGAACTAACCCAATTGAATTGTCCCATAATTCACTGCAAACTAGTCATGTGATACACTGTCATCCAATAAGAACTACCCCAATTGAATTGTCCCATAATTCACTGCAAACTAGTCATGTGATACACTGTCATCCAATAAGAACTACCCCAATTGAATTGTTCCATAATTCACTGCAAACTAGTCATGTGATACACTGTCATCCAATAAGAACTACCCCAATTGAATTGTCCCATAATTCACTGCAAACTAGTCGTGTGATACATTGTCATCCAATATGAACTACCCCAATTGAATTGTCCCATAATTCACTGCAAACTAGTCATGTGATACTTTGTCATCTAATAATGAATACTCCAATTGTTTTTATGAGATGGTTATGTTGTTGGATATTTGCAGAAAAAGTAGAACTACCACCTGAGCCAAGTCCTCCAGATTTCACAACTACACTGCAAGATATAACCATTATTGAAGGTAATGCAGCCACATTAGAGTGTAAAGTGAGTGGATATCCCGAACCAGATGTTATGTGGCTACTGGACGGTAGGCTTATACAGCCAGCTAAAGATATTCGTATGATGTTTGATGGAGAGATTGCTACATTTACAATGCTGAAAGCATTCCCTGAGGACAGCGGTGTATATACTTGTAGACTAACTAACGTACATGGCGAGACACAATCATGCAATGCTACCGTCACTGTCATTGAGGACACTCGTGCTCCCACCTACGAGACATCACCTCCAAAGTTTTTACAACGTTTCAAAGACACTGATGTTGTTGAAGGGCATGAGGTAAAGTTCCAATGTCTAATAGTTGGTACACCCAGTCCTGAGGTCACATGGTACTACCAAAGAAAGCCAATCAAAGAAACAGCTGATTTCAAATTCCTACAAGACGGCATTAAGTATACTTTGCACATTGTGGAATCATTCCCAGAAGACGAGGGAGAATACATGTGTAAAGCAACAAACTCTGCTGGTGAAGCAACGTGGAGTGCTGAACTGTTTGTTGATGAACAAGGTGCGAAAACTCATTCCTCTCGTAAACTACGCCGAAAAGGATTCCCTCCGTCATTTACACGTGAACTAACTGACTTGACTGTCAAAACTGGACTGACTATTAAATTTGAATGTAAAGTTACTGGATTACCTGAACCAGACGTTAGTTGGTATCATAACAAGCATGAACTTGACTCTGATGATCGCTACACACTACACTATGCGCCAGATGGAACGTGTGCTGTGATTATTCAGTCCATTGGGAAATCTCATGAAGGTGAATATCAATGTGTTGCTGCTAGCTCTATGGGTAAAGCAATCACAACTGCTGTACTTACAGTCATTCCACTCGGTAAGTACCATAGTCTCTTTCTTTCTAGTGCATGTGATCAAAATAATACCTAATGCTAATGTCTTTGGTGCGATATCAACATAATTTGCATGCACTGTCTGTCAACAGGAAAGGATTTTTTAAATGTGTCATAAGGACATTTTCTGTCACATTTTATGAAATAATCCTGTACAATTAGTTCCATATATTTTCAAAAGTTTTGATCAAGACCTGTGAGGCTGATAAAAAAATATCTCTGTTTCTCGTTTCCGCATCATTTTGAACTATGCGACTCGGACGTTTTTTTTCCTTCTAAAGCATTCGCCTCTCCACCTCATTTTTTAATTTCCATGAAACATTAAACAGAGAACCTTTTTTCCTGGTCTAACCAACAAAATGAAATTATGCTCAACCGAAATAACTAAGAAATTATTGAAAAATACATAAAAATGTTGAAATTTTATGCCAAAAAATTGGCGGGAAAACTCATGGCATTCAAAGTATTAATGCAATAAATAAATTTTAAATCACTGTAATGTAAAACCCCATCATCTGTAGTAAGATTCAAGCATGACCAATGTTACATGCTGATATCATGAATAAACCATGTTTATTGTGCTTTTTTTATTCTAGTGTCTGAACAATCAAGAGAAGCTACTGTCAAAGAAACAGAACCCACCCAGGAAATATCAACTGGTACGTATTGACATTTCTGTTAACTGACACTAGAGGGAGGATTTCACTGACACTTATTTATGACTTGAAAAACAAAAGAAATTAAAATGTAGCTACTCCTTGTTCAACCACAGATTAGTTCAACTTGAGATGAATAATTAACCCATTGAGCGCCAAATTTTGTTTCTCGCTCAAATTTGGCCGAATTTGTTCACAGTTTGTGACATTACCATACTTTTATCTTTTGCTAAAAAGGGTTCATAAATTTTATTCTGGAGTCAAATTGTAGAAAATTTGGCATTAGTTAATTTCTAAACTGCTTGTTGTTGTGTAGTACAAAATAATATTTTGAAAAAAATGAACTAAATATTTTGACAACTTTGAAAATAAAATAAAACGATAGTGTTATTTCTTATTTATTTCTAAAATTTGTACTTTTAAACTAGAATCAAAAAATAACCTGTCAATGTGCACAATTTGCAATACATGTATTATAAAAAAATATTTTGAGCCTTGATGCACCTCAGTAATGTATGGGGACCTATCTACTTTAAGCCATGGAGTACAGAAAACTTTAACGTATCTATTTATATTGTATTGTAATTGTGTTGTGTATGGATATATTTATTGCTTTTTTACCAAAAGAAATATTGTAATTTCTAAGGATGCAATAAAACTTGATTATTACTATTATTACCTTGCCCGTACCATCAAAGATGGAAGGGAAAGGTATATTAAGGGGAAAATTTTGTCCGGCGTTGTCGTCGTCGTCGTTGTCGTCGTCGTTAATAATTGTTATTGTGTGCATAATAACTTTACTAATTCTATTCCAAACTTTATCAAACTTGGTCACCTTATTCATCAGTATAAAGTCTTCCCTGAGTTTGAACAACAGATGTCCTGTATGAAAATATCATGCAAAAATTGAGAAAATCTGATAATATATTTTGACTGTTTCTACTTGACTGATCACTGGTGATACACATCAAAGGTCACTGATCTCAGTGGAAATATGCATTGTTGTATGTGTTCAATGAAGCAAATGATTTATCTTGTAATAATATCCTTGGTAATGTATCTCAGAATCCCATACTGGGTTTCAAAACCAACTCATGGAGAGATTGCACAGTCTGATACACATTTGCAAACCTACCAATAAAATCTTTACAGAAAACAAGATGTCAGAAAATCAATATAAGCACTGCTATGAACTGGGTGCCAAACTTTGATCAAGATCTGAAGCTAATAGAAAATCTGTTTAGTCAAAAGTTATCAAATCAAAAACAATACATAAAAAATACATTAAAAGCAAAACATTTCATCCACATTTTAAAAAGAAAATTATTCTAAAATATATGTATTCTGTATTTGACAAACAGTTCATTCGACAAATGAAAACTCACAGGAATATGTTTCAGCTATTAGAACAGAATGATAGAGTTTTTATAATACTAGTTTAAAAACGCACTTCAGAGATTGCAGTGTTTGAAGATGTAGTTTCTCAGGAGGCAAACCGCATACGTAATAGTAACCGCACCCCCAATTCCGGCTTCGGGGTTAAAGAGTTCTTAACAAAAATTGAAAACTTGAAAAGTACCTATTACTAACCGCACCCCCAATTCAACAAGACCGTGACTGACTTCATTGTTTCAACCAGCTGTTCCAAAACGGCATTGTTCCTAATCCTATTCATTTGTTTCGACAATATGCCTAAAAATATTCACACCTATTTATTGTTCAGCGGTGATAAGATGTCAGACAGGCAATGAAACTGCTTTTGTTCTGGCGGCGACCTCGTCAATACTCTTTCTGAATACGTCTGTGTTTCGTAAGTTTTAGACAATCAGCTTTTATCACCGTATAAGTGTTAAACTGAGCATTGAAGAATAATTTATCTTTCGAAAACAAATAATTTCTTGATTTAAAAAAAAAAATCATGCCGTTTTCCCATGGAAATCAAAGGCAAAAGATCACACTACATTA